AAATTAAATTATTAAATTCTTTCTATGGAATAAAGTGGTATGTTAACCCAATGGCTATGATGTCAAAACCAATTAAGTCTTCCTTACCTTTTTGAATTATCATATAATCTTCAGACCATCATATTGTTTGTGTATAATTTATGATAGTAAAAATTGAAGAGATATTAAGTAAATGTTTAAGAAATTGAAAACTTTTATAGGAAAAAATAAACAAAGGTCTCAAAATTATAGATATTTAGTTTAGTTCAATAGTTTCATTTAGGGCACTGATGGAAAATCCAACCCAAATTCAGGTGGTCAGCTTTTCTTGTTTTAGCATTTATACTCCCTGTCCCTTATGGAGCAATAACATGTTTTGCTGTGTGAAACTGAAAACTAATTTAAAGACCTGAATAAACTTTTTGGGCCCCCAGGTAGTCATTTATCTTTAAAAATTGAGATAATGCCAATTATGTATAGTATTTTTTTTATTTAAAAGTGTTTTATCAGTCATTGATTCAATATATTAAGAATGTAATGGGAAACCAGGTTAAAATAAATCATACCCTTTAATTCAATTAATCATTCCTTTCTTCTCCCCATAATTTGAAGTATTACAAATAAAAAATTGTAAAAAAAAAAAAAACCCACAAAACATTGATCTAAAATAAAAGGCAAAAAGATTAAAATCTCTGTTGATTCTCTGTGAAGCCCAATTGTAATTCTCATGATAATAGCTAGAAGAATTCATGTTAAATGTGAGAAGTCTTTGAATTTAGAGTACTTGAACAGTGTGACAACTGACTAAATTATTCCAATTATACCTTATGTGCTTCATTTGAGTAAAACCAAATGGATATTAGTAACAAATTCTTAATAAAATATCAAGTGAGCTAAAACTTTCAACCAGGCAATAGTAACTATAACAAATAATTTTCTTGTAAAACACTTATTAAATAGTTGAACATTTTTTATATTGTGTTGTTGTTGTTGTTGTTGTTGTTATGTGCCGTCGAGTCATACCTGACTCATAGCGACCCCTCCTTGGGTTTCCGAGGCAGTATCACTACGGAAGTAGGATTGCCCAACCTTCCTTCCGAGGAGTGGCTGGTGGGTTTGAACCGCCAGTCGTCTGGTTTGCAGGCAAGTGTCTTAGCCACTATGCTACCAGAGCTCCCTTTATATTGTGTATATATATATTTACACATTTTATAAGCTAATGGATATAGCCTAACATTTAGAAATTCTCAGACATATGCTAAAACTCTATTATATGCCTTAAAATAATAAAAATTGGTTAAATATTGCTGAAAATCAACATTTAACTCATAATTAAAATTATTGAAAATAAATCAAAATATATTTTGTTTTTTGATATTTAAGTACTTAATTCTTCAAATACTATTATAGATCCATTGTACTATGTTCCTTATATAAACATGGAAAACATAGGAGGCATTCCTAATCTAATAATCATGGGAGGGAGGAGGATCACAGAAATATTGTTTCCCAAATGCAATGTTGATTATATGTTAGATTTTCATTCCTATTATCTCATCAATCTGAAGTCATTTGAATGATATTTTCATTTCATACATGAGAAATTTAAATGTTAAAGAAGTTAAATACTTACTCAATTTAACTATCTCCAAGTTGTTTAGTTAGTACTTGACTACCCTACCTCTTCAAGTCTTAAAGTATTTAAACTCCAATGGAAGAAAACCTGGTGAAGAATTATGGAGCAGGGCAGTTAGGTAGTAGAATTTGGATAGATGGAATAGATAGAATAGCAATTATAATGTTAATCACTTGATTTCATTGGACTCATCTGTCCAAACTGATGTCTGTGAAAATTTCTCTGATCCCTTGATTTTACCTTCTTAAATAGAAATTTATAAAGAGTAATGCATCTTCTTTATTGCACACATTCTGTTGGCTATAAATTCAATTCAGATGAAAATTTAAATAGAAATGATAATAGGTTTGGGGGAGTTCTATTAAAAGTTGATTGATTCATGTATAAAGTTTTCAAATTAGTTGCATTGACTTTCCATACAAACGAGTAATCTTCAGGTCTCTTCTGCGAGTATCCAAAAAGCCTAAACTGGATTTCTCTTGTCAGACTAAGGCCAGAGATATGAACTTATTTTTAATAACCCATGGTTGGCTTAATGAATTAAGGAAAAAAAAACAAAGTTTCCCAATTGTATATTAAAATAAACTGCTGAGCCTTCAAAATTTAAATAATTAATCCTAGGTCATCAATAACTCTGGGGAGGTGGGACCTTGAGATTTGTGTTTTCAACCACAGCATAGGTAATTCTAATGCTTAGCCAGTATTGAAGGTCATTGGCCTGCAGTCATTGCCTCCAGGAGTCCCTAAATTATGCAAACAGTTATCCAGTGGAGTACTAAGCAAAAAGTTTGGAATTTGAAGTCTACTCAGAATAACTCAGAAGGAAGGCCTGGTGATTTTCCAAAATACAGCCACTGAAAATGCTATGGAGAATGTTGACACAATGTGAGGAATGTAACCAATGTCACTCATTGTTATGTCTAGAAACTGTGGAATGGGAGCAGCTTTTGCTGTATATATGTTGACCAAAAATACTATGTGAAAGAAAGAGACAGGGACGGAGGGAGACAGAGAGGAATGAAGGAAGGAGAAAAGCAGGTAGAGAGGAAAGAAGAAAGAAAACCCTGTGGAGCACAGTTCCACTCTCCATATATCGGAATTGACTCCACAGCAACTAGTTTTTATCTTTTGTCTGTTTTGACTATTTACTCTGCTCTTCAACTTTCATTAATGCAATTGAAATCTGGTTTTGCTTCTCAGCCATCCACTGAAGTTGTTCTCTATTGATTTGCTAACTTAAAAGCCTAAATAACATTTTCATTTATTTTTTACTGGACTTTTTGCTTCATTTCACATTGTGCAGTCTTCTTGAGATGGTCAGGCCACTTGCTTTGTATGGTGCAGTACGTTCTTTATTCCCTCTTTAGCCTCTTCAGTGGTTCCTTCTCTCTCAACTTTTGAATATTTTCTAACCTTATTTGGAAGAGAATTATCTTCTCTTTTATCTACTCTGCCTGGTTACTCTAATCTATTTATATGTATTAATTTATACTAATATACTGACAGCTCCTGAATTTAACCTTCACTGCAGATTTCCTTCTTGGGCTTCAGACATATTTTCTACCACCTGTTGAACCTCTGCCTGGATTTGTATCACACACCTCAAACATAAAATGCCCTGAAAGTGTATCAGTTGTTTTTGTCCTTAAACGCGCTCTACTTCATATATTTTGTATCTCAACTTCATGTGCTACCTTTTCCCACTCAAGGGACACAAGATGTATCCTGATTTATTTATCTCTTCCTTTGTGTTATCTTCAATACATCCTTTGGACCAGTATTCCTCTTCTCATTGTTATCCACATGGTTCTAATTCAGATTTTTTTCAGCTCTCAACAGTACTGTGCAACATTGCCTTATTATTCCCTCCTTTCTCAAATACAAGCTCTGCACAATCACCAGAATAGCTTCCTGACATACATATCTGATTATGTCAGCCCATTGCTGAAAAACTTCTAGTGATGCCACATTAATTACAAGCACCGTAATACTACATGAATACTATGTTAATCTCCTTGATAATTTGGATTAGTCTCTAACCTCTTCTCTTAGCACTCTCGTTCTTAAGATTTTTCCCTTCAATAACAAAACTGCTTTTGGTGGTCCATTTATACCATAAAACTTGTTGACTGACTGATTTCCTTTATATAGCGTCTCCACCTAGAATGTCTTCCCTACATCACAGACTTTTCACTTGGCTTACTGCAACTAATCTTTAAAGACTCCCAAATTTATAACACCAACACAGATCCCTCTTCTGGCCTCTATATTCAAACATACAATTGTCTTTATAATTCTCAAATTGAATATCTAATAAAATAGCATTTCAAATTTAATCTGTCAACATTAAACTCCTGCCTTCACTCCACCCACATGTGCAAAGACCCACACTTTCTGTAGCCTTCCCATTTCAATAAAGGCAACTAGATGCTTCAAGTTGCTTGGGTCCAAAAACTTAAACTTTGACTCTTCTCTTCATCACGTATTTCAAAATCAATATATCAACAATTCCTGTCAACTATGCTACTACATTTTTTTTTTTTTTTTTTTGCCAGAACCAATACTTCACCTCTACTGCCGCCATCCCAGTGCAGACCATTTACATTTTCCATGGCTATTTTGTGAGTAGCTTTTTAGACTAGGGAGTATTATACTCCCTGCTTCTCCCCTCCCACACTTTCAACCTCATACTTTCTCTTCCCTACTGAGAAGTCAGTGAAAGCTTTAAAGATATACAGCTACATGTTCTCAACGCTTTCACTCTTTAGTTCTCTTACCATGCTTTACTTTTCTTCCTGACACTTCTCACCACTTGGCATCTATTTGGGTATTCTCAGTTTCTTCCCACTAGAATGAGAACTCAGAATCACCCCTGCCACCCATTTAGAACAATGTTTGCCCTATAGTAACCCCTGATTAATATTTATTGACTATATCAGTAAATTAACGTAACTCAACTATATCCTACCCCAGGAAGTTTTCACCAATCAACACAATTTCTTAAGTACCTCTCTCCCATGCTTTCATTATAATGCAATACAGTATATATCTTTGATAATGGAAACTGTCTCTCTCATATTTTTATCTTTGGTACTGTCATATCATATGAATGAAAGCTCAGCGTCCTTAAGACTATTTTAGATATTCTGGTAATCATTAGGAACAACAGCCCAGAGATCCCTGGGTAGTGCAGATGATTCACTCTCAGCTGGTAACTGAAAGAATAGCAGCCTTTTTGATGTCATCTTTGAACATAAAATATATAAAATGGATTAAATGTCTATAGATTTACAATATGTCTAACAGCAAAAGATTTTCTGTTTGACTTTTGTTTGCTAGTGAAATAATCTATATCTTTTAACAAGTGAATTTTGTGTATTTTCAGAGATCATCTATAGCTGGGTCTTTAACGAGTTCCCTTCCTTTGTGGCGGAAGACAGCCGGCGCTTCATTTCCCAGGAGACAGGCAACCTCTACATTTCTAAAGTCCAAACATCCGATGTTGGCAGCTATATATGCCTGGTGAAAAACACAGTGACCAATGCTCGAGTACTTAGTCCTCCAACTCCACTCACACTACGTAATGACGGTAAGTTGCATTGCCCGGGTTAAAGTGGTCAGCCATGTCAAATGTGAAAACAAAAAATGTTTACTGTTTTCTCTAAACACTTGAATCTCTTACAAAGAAAATTAAAAGGCATTTATAAAATTTGGAAACGCTATATTTTTAGACTAAGATCATGCGTATTTTAGAATGAAAACATTGAGGTAGAAAAGGGATGATCCATGAATGAGAAATATCCCCCATAATGCTACTCTAGTGCCAAAAAGGAAGAGAGAATCTGAAAAGAAGAACAGTAATAAAGACTCCACAGTTCTTTCCTTTGCTCTTTAGTGCCTCTATATAGCATATGTGTGTGAATTGCAAGCATTTTATGGGTTCACTTTTCATTACATTTTTATTTTAGCTGCCTTCAAATTGAATGTTCAGCTTTTAATACTTCATGGTATAGTTATAATTGTTATTATTGCTTTTCCAATAATAGGAGCAGTTGTAACTTTAACTTTTAAGTGCAATTCAGGCAGAAGTGATGATTCTATAATTATAGGTATTGCCATCTATCTAAAGTATCTTCAAATTTAAACACCTCATTTGTAGTTACAGACATTTACAGTTAAGCATTGCATTAAAGAAGTCAAGTGCTATATTACAGTGATATATGCTACGCAGTTTGCTCTGTCATGCAATAAAAAGACAAATCTATGGAAGCAGCATTCAGAAGAGAGCTTGTGAATCCTGATTGATTGCAAAGTTTAAAAATAATTCTATTTTTATTCTGTCATTTCTTATGCTTTTTACTAGGATTTATATTGCTGGGATGTACAGTCAGAAGCTATATCACAAGGATTTTGGCTTACCAATCGGTTTTTTATTTTATTTATTTAAATTTCAGAGTTTAAATAATATACCTATGAGATAAAGAGGCAAATGATGTGTCCATTTTAAAGATGAGGGAACCAATATTAGGGAGATTAAGGGATTGCCAAAGGCAACACAGCTGGGTCAAAACTTGGAGGAATTAATGGGAAAGAAGAATGGAGGAGGGAAGAACAATACAGCAGCTAATAAATTAACCAGCCAAGATGTAATGAGGGACTGACAAAAATAGTGGTAGTAGCACTGGAGAGCAGGGAACGTGACCTAGGTGGAATTTCCAAGATTCAATGATTAATTAAATTTGGGGCTTTGGAGTAGGAAGAAGCTAATATATAAAACAATTTCAGGGTATTGCCTATAGTTTTTCAATGAATGATGATTCTTTTCCCTAGAAAAGATAATACAGGAAAAGGATTATATTCATGGTTGGGTGAACATGAAAAATTAAGTTTTAAATATGAAGAGATGAAGTTCCCATGGGAAATCCATGTAGATATATACAGTGAGCATTTTGATAAGTGAGGGCTGGGCTAGAGTAAAAGATTTAAGAGTCATCATTTTGTGTCCTATCACTATAGTTGAAGTTATGAGTGTATATATTATGATAAAGTTAAAATTGTCTAAGACCTGTCTATAATGAGAAGAAAAAAAGAAAACAAATATATATTGAAAAAATGTATCTTAAATTTTGGAATTTAGGTGATTGGCAGTGAGTTTTTATCTATAAATCATTTCCATAAAATTTCTGAGCATTTTCTTATCAATTTCTTAGGAATTTAAAACAATCCTGTCAGAAAACTAACATTTTGCTGACTAACTAATAATCAGTTCTGTTGCACTATCCATTAATTCACTAATACCTTATTGTGGGTAGTGACTGAAGTTGAAGAGGTCTTTCATCTTTCTTCATCTAAGAGATCTCTGCCCACACATTGCATTGATCATCACAAGAGACTGTAGCACAAGTATAATCAGAGTTCAAAATTGATTGTACTGCTTTCACAAGTGATTTAAAAGATCAGTGCTCATGTGTGGCTATTTCTTACACATACATTTCATGACTCAGATTTATTGCTTAACTTTTCTTTCTACCTTCCATGGTTAAATATTTTAAGAACAATCTTTGGTCCATATTTAACCTTCTTCCCCTCTGCCTCTATGTTTTTGTTTGGTAAAATCCCAACATCCAATAAACTCAACTATCCTCTTACTCTGTGATTGCCTTAATTAGCTGAGAACTGTTTGAGAAAAGTATGCCTATCATAGATTTATGACTACCAACATCAAATGTGTCTTCAACATTGACTATCAGTCTCAGTAAATTTTTGTAAATGATTCATCTGCATCTCTCCCAAAAATTTTCTTTAGTTCTTTAGTTTCCATTAAACTCAGTAGCCCTACCACCATCATTTCACAATAAACTGAGATGCTATCAAACTAAAATTCCCCCATCTTCCCATTAATAAAATTTAAACCTACCACATCTCTACTCTGTCCTGGAAGAAGTACATCCAGAATGCTCCTTAGAAACAAGAATGGTGAGATTTTGTCTCACAAGCTTTAGACATGTTAATTCAGGAGGGAATAGTCCCTGGAAAAGGCCATCATGCTTGGTGAAGTAGAGAGTCCATGAAAAAGGGGAAGACCCTCAATGAGATTGACACAGTGAGAAAGACAATGGACTGAAGAAGAGCAACGATTGTGTGAATGGCAGAGGACTATGCAGTGTTTTGTTCTGTTATGCACAGGGTCACTATGAGTTGGAATCAACTGAAGGACACCTAACAACATCTCTATTTACACTATTCTTTCTGTCTCATATTTCAATAGAGAAAGAAACTCTCCTCCTATTAGAACCAATACTTCAATCCCTGACCATTGACTTTCATTCTCTATTGCCTTCTTAGATCACCACACTATTAGTCATTGCTCCTTATATAATCAATGCTATGCTACTAAACTAATAAACACTTTTAGTCATTACATTAATTTAATTCACAACAGCAGCTGATATTGGTGCCTACTTTCTTTTGTAAACATTTCTTTTTCTTCAATATATCTTTATTTGATCAGTATTATATGAAAGGTTCTCTGAAGAAATAATAAACAGGTAAAACGTATGTTATTTTAAAACTAACATTTAAATTAAAAACAAAAACAGGTGGGAGACATCTGCTAAATATCAATTAAATCATTTAGTGACAATCCTCTTCGAGATTTTCCAAAATCGTTAGAAAATTCACAGGTATTCTTCTGTAAATTACCTAAGGTTATTTTTTCCTAGGTAGTTCTTTGTCTATTACTTTTATTTTTTTATTAAAGGAATATTTCCATATGTAATAAATTAAACAGTATGTAAGTACTGATGGGGAAAAACAAACACATAAACTTCCCATTCACCTCTTTCTGTTATCAAAACCACTCCCTACAACCAACAACCAACCTTAATTTTCATGCTATTTTTTCATGATATTCTCATATTATGCTAGAAGATATTTATACTTTTTCACTCATCAAGTTTTGATAATAACTGTTAACCCCTTAATATGAAAAGTAAACTTATGCTTCTTCTCTCCTGTCTGCCTGTAGTTTACACTTACTAATTTTTTTTTTCTGTGCTTACCTTTTAATTTAGATGATGTGCTTAAATCTTCTTAAATCTCTACTCTTCTCTTAACTCTTGAAAATAATTCTTCATTTTCTATTATATAAAATGAATATATTTTTAGCCCTACTATTTCCTTCACCTTTTCTACACTCGTATGCCCTTCTTTTGTCTTCTAATTTTACTTTGACATTCTCTCATGCAGGTAAAGCCAAGTGCTCTATAGTTTCCTATAGGTTAAATTTAAAAATTGAAAATCAATGCATATTTACAAATTATTACTATACAATTATTGTTCAATATTATATTACCTCAGGTTTTTAAGCCACTTCCTAGATATTTATGCTAAACTGGATGTTTTTTTCACATTTGAATTGAAAATAACATTAGTAAGATTGTGATATACTTTGGATACAGTTATTCTTTAATAATTCTGTTGTAGAAAAGGTTGATAGTTTGAATAACATTGTTTGAATAACATTGTAAGTCACAATATTCATGTTAATTGTGACCATAAGTGTGGTTAAGGTAGTCCATGGGAGAGTATTAAATGTGAAGAGAAGTAAGCTTAGAACCAATCCTTCAATAATCCAAATTTCATTGGAAAGGAAAAGAATGAAAATCCTACAAAAGATAATGATAAAAACAAGTCAGAAAGTATAGTTTCCATTGTAGACTAACAAAAAAGACATTTTGATATATTTTGGAAGAATAAGAAAAATGTGGGCTAAAGAATTAAACAGTAGAGAAAACTCAAAACTAGAATAAAGTTTGGGAGCTCTGGTAGTGTAGTGCCTAAGGCACTTGACTGCTAACCAGAAGGCTGGCAGTTCAAACCCACCAGCCACTCCTCGGAAGGAAGATG